GATCCCGCAACACACTCCAACGACTTCAACTATGACTGCTGAAATATGCCCATGTTCTTAATATCCTTACCATCCAAGGAAAGCCGTTGGGTCGTGGGAAGATCCAGCTATGCTCCCCCACCATCACGCTCCGCATTGGGTGCCTTCATGAGGAACTCATCTCTTTTCAGGTGCTGGAGAATTCCACAGCAGAGATCATCCTGGGATGCCCTTGGTTAACCCAATACGCACCCATCATTAACTGGACCACCAAGGAAGTTATACACTGGAGTGAGTACTGTCGGCAGCACTGTATGTCCCAAGTTCTCCCTCTGTCACCTGGTTTCCTCCCGGTCTGTGCCACCTCCATCGAGCCCCCCGAACCCACAGAACCTCACAGCATTCCCAGTGAATACCGGGCATTTCAGGATGTGTTCAGTAAGCGGGCCGCAACGAAACTACCACCTCATCGGCCATGGGACTGTGCCATAGATTTGCTGCCTGGAGCTCAACTCCCTAAGGGTAGGGTATACCCGTTGTCCATCCCGGAGCAAGGAGCGATGGAGGAGTACATTAAGGAGGCTCTCCAGCAAGGCTTCATCCGGCTCTCCACCTCACCGGCCGCATCCAGTTTCTTCTTTGTGGGCAAAAGAAGGACGGAGGCTTGCGGCCTTGTATTGATTACCGAACTCTCAACTAACAAACAGTGAAATATCTGTATCCCTTTCCACTGGTGTCGGCCGCCCTAGAGGAACTTCGTGGAGCTCGTATCTTCTCCAAGCTGGATCTGCGACGTGCCTATAACCTCGTTCGTATCTGCCATGGTGACGAGTGGAAGACCGCCTTCATCACGCCCACCGGACACTATGAATACTGCGTTATGCCGTATGGCCTATCCAACTCACCTTCCGTATTCCAAGAATTCATGAACGAGGTGTTCCGGGAGTTCCTCCATCATTCTGTGATCGTTTACGACATTCTGATTTACTCCCGGAACTTGGCCGAACATCGCCACCATGTGGAGCAGGTCCTACAACAGCTGAGAAAGTACCACCTCTATCTCAAGCTGGAGAAGTGCGAGTTCCACCTTATCACCATCAAGTTCCTCGGATATGTCATCAGTCCTCAGGGTATCCAGATGGATGACAAGAAGGTCCAAGCCATTCACAACTGGCCACAACCCAAGACCGTTAAGGAACTCCAACGCTTTCTAGGATTCTCCAATTTCTACCGTCGTTTCATCCACCACTTCAGTCAGCACACAGCCGCCCTCACATCCATGCTCCGAAATAAGCCCAAGTCTCTGTCCTGGACGCCCACAGCCATTCAAAGTTTCGAAGGACTGAAGGAAGCCTTCTGCACCGCTCCTACCCTCGCGCTTCCCGATCCTCAGAGACCGTTTGTCGTGGAAGTAGATGCGTCCACAGTAGGGGTGGGAGCGGTGCTCTCCCAGCATTCTGGAGAGCCTCCTATTCTCCATCCCTGTGCATACTTCTCCCGCAAGCTTTCCCCGGCGGAGCAGAATTATGACATCGGGAACCGCGAGCTTCTCACCATCAAACTCGCACTGGAGGAGTGGAGACATTGGCTGGAGGGAGCTCTTCATCCCTTCCAGGTCATCACTGACCATCGGAACTTGGAATATCTTCTGGAGGACAAATGCCTAAACCCACGTCAGGCACGGTGGGCACTGTGCTTCACCCATTCTCAGTTACCTACCGGCCCGGACCCAAGAACACCAGAGCAGATGCTCTGTCGCGCCTTCCTCAGGCCACGGAATGATTGATAACCCCGGAGACCATTCTCCCTCAAGCCCTCATTGTGGGTCCCAACCAATGGACGCTCGACAAAGAGATCCGTCAAGCCACCCACTCCGAACCAGCTCCGCCGGGAGGTCCAGAAGGGAAGGTCTATGTTCCATCCACTCTCCGCAATACCCTTCTGGACACACTACACTCTTCTCCGGGCTCTGGACATCCAGGCAGCCAGCAAAACCTCTCGAAACTCGAAACTCGCTACTGGTGGCCCGCTATGGCGTGAGAAGTCAGGCACTTTTCCTCAAAAGGATGTAAACTACTCCCCCTCAGAAAATTACCCACGGCCATGGAAACCACAACACAGTTATTCCACCAAGTATTTTGCCTCAGACCCTCAGACGTTCCAGTGGTGGACTACTGGTTCAGAGAGAGCGAGAGGGTCTGGGACTCAGCGCATGTCCATCTCCAGCAGGCAGTTCGGAGACACCAAGCTCAGGCCGATGTTCACCGCCGCCCTACTCCCCGATACCAGCCGGGAGATAGGGTATGGTTATCCATGCGGGACATTCGTCTCCGACTGCCTTGCCGCAAGCTGAGTCCCCGCTATATCGGACTATTCACCATCCAGAGGCAGATCAACGACGTCACAAATAAGCCCAAGTCTCTGTCCTGGACGCCCACAGCCATTCAAAGTTTCGAAGGACTGAAGGAAGCCTTCTGCACCGCTCCTACCCTCGCGCTTCCCGATCCTCAGAGACCGTTTGTCGTGGAAGTAGATGCGTCCACAGTAGGGGTGGGAGCGGTGCTCTCCCAGCATTCTGGAGAGCCTCCTATTCTCCATCCCTGTGCATACTTCTCCCGCAAGCTTTCCCCGGCGGAGCAGAATTATGACATCGGGAACCGCGAGCTTCTCACCATCAAACTCGCACTGGAGGAGTGGAGACATTGGCTGGAGGGAGCTCTTCATCCCTTCCAGGTCATCACTGGCCATCGGAACTTGGAATATCTTCGGGAGGCCAAATGCCTAAACCCACGTCAGGCACGGTGGGCGCTGTTCTTAACCCGTTTTCAGTTCTCAGTTACCTACCGGCCCGGACCCAAGAACACCAGAGCAGATGCTCTGTCGCGCCTTCCTCAGGCCACGGAATGATTGATAACCCCGGAGACCATTCTCCCTCCAGCCCTCATTGTGGGTCCCATCCAATGGACGCTCGACGAAGAGATCCGTCAAGCCACCCACTCCGAACCAGCTCCGCCGGGAGGTCCAGAAGGGAAGGTCTATGTTCCATCCACTCTCCGCAATACCCTTCTGGACACACTACACTCTTCTCCGGGCTCTGGACATCCAGGCAGCCAGCAAAACCTCTCGAAACTCGAAACTCGCTACTGGTGGCCCGCTATGGCGTGAGAAGTCAGGCACTTTTCCTCAAAAGGATGTAAACTACTCCCCCTCAGAAAATTACCCACGGCCATGGAAACCACAACACAGTTATTCCACCAAGTATTTTGCCTCAGACCCTCAGACGTTCCAGCGGTGGACTACTGGTTCAGAGAGAGCGAGAGGGTCTGGGACTCAGCGCATGTCCATCTCCAGCAGGCAGTTCGGAGACACCAAGCTCAGGCCGATGTTCACCGCCGCCCTACTCCCCGATACCAGCCGGGAGATAGGGTATGGTTATCCATGCGGGACATTCGTCTCCGACTGCCTTGCCGCAAGCTGAGTCCCCGCTATATCGGACTATTCACCATCCAGAGGCAGATCAACGACGTCACATACAGGCTTGAACTTCCTCCTCACTACCGCATCGCACCGACCTTCCATGTCTCACTGCTCAAACCCTGTGTTCACCCTCTGTCTGCTTCTCCCCCAGGGTCTGACGAATCCGACGTACCTCCTCCTCCCAAAATCGCTGAAGAGGAGACCATCTACAGAGTCAATTCTCTTCTGGACTCCCGGCGTCGAGGTGGCCACCTAGAGTATCTCGTGGACTGGGAGGGATTCGGCCCATAGGAGAGATCATGGGTGCGTAGAGATGATGTGCTAGATCTCTTACTCCTCAGAGACTTCCATGATCGTCACCCTGTCAGGGATAGTCCAGTCTCGTCAGGCCCAATCACCTCACACACCCGTTCACAATCACCGGAGTACTAATCAGCACCTGTCACCACCTCATCAACACTAGCTCAAATGCTCAATCACTGCAGTCACACGTCGTCTGGTCTTTAGTTCACTACGCTACTCTTTACCTGACTCACTACCCCGTACTCCATCCTGAAACCTACCTGTCTCAAAAAAAAGAATAAATTAAAAAATCCCATACACTCTTTTTGTCATCATTTAAATATGCAAATACCACTACTGACATATCTGAACCTCCCTGCCCCAGAAAGGACTAGAATTTTCCACACAAAAAAAAGAGGGGAAAAAATGTTGTTTACTGTTATGTAAGGGACTTTGCCTCAATAAAGTGCAGCCTTATTTTGGAGAGGGATTGTCTCCTGTTTTAAGTGGTTTAACACTAGGACTCCTCTGGCTACGTGGAGGCTTGGGATTGGAGTATCACGCACATGTCCCGCAGGTAAACACAAGCTGTGTTTACAGACACCCTTTAGCCGGGGCGGGTGAAGTACCTCTCTGTATCTTATTGTAGCCGTGGTTCTTAAACCCTCCTATTTTTAGACAACTAGATTTAAGCCTCAATCTCAGTGGCAAGGAGATTCTGCACCTTATTACCAGCTACAGGCCCACTGTAAAAACACTCGTCTCCATCTTTCATTACTCCTTGTCCTCCATATGCTATTGTAGTGGTAGATAGAGAAGTCTTTGTAAGCCGATAAGATGAATGTACCCATTTGAAAAGTTAATTGGCCCAGTTCTGAAAACACAGGACCCATATTTACAGTATATCTCAGGATGGATTGAGCACTTTTGATAATCTTTGCTTAAACATAAATTAAACAATTACAGCAGTTTTATACATTTCCTTTTCATTTTAAATTCAAATTAAATATCCTGGTTGAGGTCCTACCTCAATTCAAATCCAAGTCATATTCAGAAATTGAATTGGAATTTACATTAAATTCTGAGTTCAGTTGTGAATGGCACAAAACCCTTGAATAGCCAATAAATGTTTGTATTTTCATATAAATATGAAAAAAATATAAATTTTTTCTGTTCTGTTGTTTGTTTTTGATTTGACACTAGATATATTTCCAGTTCATCCACATGTTGTGTGAAATGACTGTTAATCTTTCTATTCCCAGGTGTTCATGGTCAAATGGTCCAGATGGACAGCATTAAGTCAGGATTTGTGGGCTCACAGGTAGAGCTACGCTGTCAGTTTGTCAACAGCAACCCACCTGTAAAAATCTCACAGGTCACCTGGCAGAAGCTTGTCAATGGCACCAAGCAGAACGTCGCCATTGCCAATCCAGCCCTGGGGGTGTCGGTACTGAGCCCCTTCAAAGAGCGTGTGCGTTTCAAGAACCCCGCCGTCCGCCAGCGCACACCTTCCCTGGAGGACACCACCATAGTCTTCAACAAACTAAAACTGTCGGATGAATCCACCTACATCTGCGAGTACACAACCTTCCCAGCTGGCAACAGGGAGAACATGGTTAATCTCACTGTTTATGGTATGTAATGCTGCTGTTCTCCTAATACCAACTGTACAGCAATCTTCCCAGACCACCAATACCACAAACGCTGACTGTATTATGCATTTAAAAATATGAATTTCAGATGAGATTTAAGAGCTGAATAACTTCAATGTCAGTTGGCAAGTAAAGATTTAAAGGAATGGTTCACCAAAAATGAAAATTAACTCACCCTCAGGCCATCCTGGGCTGCGTTTCTCGATAACAATTGATCTTAGAGCTTAAGAGCGTTTTCTACGAGTCATTTTACGATCGTTCGTTATTGTTTCACGTGCGTTTCCCAAAAATGCACTTAACACAATCGCACGTAGCCGTGCTTTAAGTGCTACTTAGGAGTCGGTATCCATTTGTCAAGTGCTGAAATGTCACCTTGTAGAATGGCTCGTAATTGTAGTAGCCTACACGCTCGTTTATTGAAATGTTAACCTAATGCTGCTTTCCAGACAACTCTATATTATATTATTTATACGTATAATATTATACTTTACATAATAATATAGTCTATAATATACTTTATATAAAAATATATATTATAGTATATAATATCTATATAGAGACGTTTATTTCCGGGTCAAATACATTGGTTTTCGTGCACGTCAGTAAGTCATTGACAGATTTTTACAGCAATCTTCCCAGACCACCAATACCACAAACGCTGACTGTATTATGCATTTAAAAATATGAATTTCAGATGAGATTTAAGAGCTGAATAACTTCAATGTCAGTTGGCAAGTAAAGATTTAAAGGAATGGTTCACCAAAAATGAAAATTAACTCACCCTCAGGCCATCCTGGGCTGCGTTTCTCGATAACAATTGATCTTAGAGCTTAAGAGCGTTTTCTACGAGTCATTTTACGATCGTTCGTTATTGTTTCACGTGCGTTTCCCAAAAATGCACTTAACACAATCGCACGTAGCCGTGCTTTAAGTGCTACTTAGGAGTCGGTATCCATTTGTCAAGTGCTGAAATGTCACCTTGTAGAATGGCTCGTAATTGTAGTAGCCTACACGCTCGTTTATTGAAATGTTAACCTAATGCTGCTTTCCAGACAACTCTATATTATATTATTTATACGTATAATATTATACTTTACATAATAATATAGTCTATAATATACTTTATATAAAAATATATATTATAGTATATAATATCTATATAGAGACGTTTATTTCCGGGTCAAATACATTGGTTTTCGTGCACGTCAGTAAGTCATTGACAGATTTTCCCCCCAGTCTTTGAAGCATATTTCCTACATTACTTCTTTTATTCCTTTTTTTGTTCAGTCATTTAATTTAGATGTGTATTTTAATTTTTCTGCCCTTTTTTAATAATTTCATTAATAAATTCATTAAAAAAAGTTTTAAAAAAAAGAAAGAAAAAAAGAGTAATAAAGTGTGCAATAAAGCACAATCAAAACTTTATATTATAATCACATTGCACTTGAATAAAGTTAAACGTGCAATCTGCCGATTGTCCTGCAGGTGACCGCATAAATCTGTCTTCTTACGATGCACTTAGGGATTTACGATTACTCCAGAGCACTTGTAGATCTACGATGATTTTCAAATGCTACTTAAGTTAGATGCTTTCGGGAAACAGACCGTAATATTAAGATCAGTCGTACGATCGTTTTTACGAACTTCTTAGGCTTACGAAGCTTTTGGGAAACGCAGCCCAGGATGTTTGTTTTTTTTCATCAGAAAAGATGAAGGGTAAATTTAGCATTACATCACTTTCTCACCAATGGATCCTCTGCAGTGAATGGGTGCCGTCAGAATGAGAGTTCAAACAGCTGATAAAAACATCACAATAATCCACAAGTAATCCACACGTCTCCAGTCCATCAGTTATCTAGTTATCTATATCATCACATCTTGTTAAGTGAAAAGCTGTGTGTTTGTAAAAAAACAAATCCATCATGAAGACATTTTAAATAAACCATTGCTTTCAACTGCCCACCCTCAGCTTCGCCACTGGAGTATTTCAACAAATTTTTTTTTATTTTTAGGTAAACCGTTCCTTTAACATTGAACAAGTTCAAGGCCCTTGTTAGATTTAGATATCTTGCATATCTTACAGATACATAAAACCAGTAAGTCCTTGGTGATTAAGCTTTAGTGATTAATTGAAAACTCACAATCATCAGATTACTCTCAGTACCTGAGCAGCGTAAAAGTTTACTGTTGCAGTGCTTACAGTTAGCCGCTGTGGCGTGAAACAGGCCTTTGGAGCCAAGGTTGTGCTGCAGTGGATTTTGCTCACATCACATAAACTGAGATTTATTTTTTGGTTTTGAGATTAGTGAAACTTTTGATTTCACAGAAGAATAATTTCTGTGTATATTGCATCATTTTCCAAGTTGAAGAGGCCTTTGTCTTTTCAAAATGGTTTCCATGAAAACTGATTATTATATAGTGCATTGAAGTTCTTAATGAGAAAAAAACACACAAATAATCTGAAAAGCTTGCAAAACATAATATGGCACAGAATATTACAGTAATCCAGTGGTTGTCTGCAGTGCATGAAATATCCCAGTGTTCTAAGCCTATGTATTTGTCCTGCAGCTCGTCCTATAATCCAGATGAGTCTGTCCACACCCTCCATAGTAGCGGGAACCAAAGATCTGAAGATGACTGTTTCCACGTGCGTTTCTGCCAATGGGAAGCCACCCAGTGTGATCACATGGGAAACTGATTTAGATGGAGAATCCAACACCCAGGAGATTCGCAACCCTGATGGGACTGTCACTGTGCGCAGTGATTACTTGGTGGTTCCCAGTCGAGAAATACACCAACAGTTGCTCACCTGCATCTCCACATATAATGACGAACAATACACAGACAGTGTGATGCTCAACATTCAGTGTAAGAAACCAGCTATACACTACTGTTCAAAAGTTTGGGGTCAGTAAGATTAAAAAATAGATAAATAATACTTATTCAACAGGGATGCATTAAATTGATCAAAAGTGACAGTAAATATATTTACATTGTTTCAAAAAAATTTATATTTTTCAAATGCTGTTCTTTTGAACTTTCTGTTCATAAAAAATTATGGAGAAAAAAAATGTCTCTCGGGTTTCATAAAAATATTAAGCAGTACAACTGTTTTCAACATTGATAATAATGAGAAATGTTTCTTTAGCATCAAATATTAGAATGATTTCTTAAGGATCATGTGACACTGAAGACAGAAGTGGCTGAATTCAGACTTCTTTCAAAACATTTTAAAATCTTACTAACCCCAAACTTTTGATCCAGCATATTTTTAATTGATTAAAAGTCACTTTAATTTAAATTAAATTATTTTATTTTTTTAATTATTAATTTATTTCATTTATTTTAATTGATTATTTATGTCTAGCACTTATTAATACAATACTTATTATATCTCTGTTTGTTTTTTGGGGTTTGTTTTCAATTTAGCTTAATAGTAATTGCAGTTTAGCTTTTAATTTAAAATGTATTTAAAAATGCATCATCATTAGTTCTCTATTAAAATAATTGTATTCTAAATCTTCATTACTGTTAAATTCCATTTTATTAAGTGTCCATTGAAGGAAAGAAAAAAAGAGAAAAGTTTAAATGTATACTCTATTTTCCCTTTGTTTACAGATGAACCAGAGGTGATAATAGAGGGCTTCAATGGGAACTGGTATTTGAACAGAGAAAACGTTCAGCTCACCTGCTTGGCTGATGCCAACCCACCTGTCTCTTTGTTTCAGTGGAGATAGTATGTCACTTTAGTCTACCTAAATAACAATTCTGTGCTAATTTATTTATCATTCAAAGAATGTTGTTAAAATACATTGAAATGGGTGATGAGCTCAAAATGTACCATAGCCTAAATGACTGAATATTATGTATTATATCAATACCAAAGAAATGTGTCGATTACCACAGAAAATAATGTAAACTCTGTTTGCACTGCACTTAAAATGGAGATCCATGGGGCAAGGCATTTCTTGTGAAATATGAAGCTCATAGTTTTGTTGAACTGCTTATCTTGTTTCTTCTAGTCTCATGGCTATACTTTCTGGCTATACATGTCTGGTTTTAATAGAAGTGCATTATTGTAAACACAATTATTGAGGGTCGAGTCAAAATTATTTTTTGTGGAAAATTAGAGTCTGATACAAATGTAATTGAACTTTTAATTCATTTTCCATATTAATTCCAGAACACTCATCTGTCATATTCAAAACATTTATGCTTTTTTCAGTTGTTGTTGGCATCTTAACATCAGTCAAATCTTACGCACGACCTGATTTCGACCATATTTCTCTCTCTAGCTTGAATGGAACTATGCCGAGTACAGCAGAGCTTCGCGATGATGTGCTGATCTTTAAAGGTCCCGTAACTTATGACATCGCAGGCACATACATCTGTGACGCCAGCAACAGCATTGGGACAGGCTCTGCGTCTGCTGAGGTCATTGTCACAGGTGCGTTGTTTACACTTCCTACTCGACTGAAAGCATGTGGCTTAACTGCTTCTGTGCATGTGGATATGCATGTCAATCTTTAAGCTTACTCTCGACTGCCTCTGAAACATCCCTTAAGCATGCCATTGTTTTCTCAATAAACAATGTAGACGCTCACTACCTGAAATGTGGAAGCTCACTCTCCTGCCTGTATTTAGTTCTTCAGCCCTAAGGTGTTTTGCTTTGATTAACTTGCTTGCTGGCACAGCACTTTGCATGTGGCTACAAGTTGTCTGCATGTGGCTCCTGAGTGAACCTTGATCTGTGAGGATCTCTTGAGTCATATTTTCTTCTTTGCATGCTGTGAGCATAAGGTGTGGTCTATAGAAACTTCATGTTTACATTTACTTGTGTGTACATGTACTGTATGTATTGTTCTGGCCTGCTGCATGGTTCAGTGTCTTTGCCATAGTGATGGCACCTGGGATTGCATTTCCATGTGGAAGATATACAAAGAAATGAAAAGTTTCCCCCATTCCTACTCCCTCTTTGTACCCATGTTGCTTTTTTAAAGACCTTTTGAAATCAAAATTGAGCTTTGTTGCTTTTAGACATTGTCCATTATGGTAGTGTACTACTAAAAGTGTTTACACTACTGAACAAAAGTTTGGGGGAAGTGAGTTTTTACTTTTTATTTATTTATTAAGAATACTTTTCAGTAGGGACACATTCAATTGATCCAACGAAAAGACATATATAATGCTATGTTACTAAAGATTTCTTTTTCAAATAAATGCTTTTTATTGATCAAAGAATCCTGAAAAAATTATTGACCACCAAAGAACCATGTTAGAATGATTTCTGAAGCATCATTTGTCATTAAAGACCTTACACTAAAGAGTAATGACTGCTGAAATTTCAGCTTTGCCATTATAGGAATAAATTATATTTTATAATACATTCAAATAGAAAATGGTTATTTTAAATTTTAGTAATATTTCACAATATTGCAGCTTTTTACTGTATTTTTGATCAAATAAATGCAGCCTTGGTGAGTGAAAAAGATTATTTATTTTATTTTATTTTTTAAATATTGCTTCCATCCCTTAACTTTTAAATGGTAGTGTAACAAGCCCTTTGATATGTTCCTAGACCTCACTTCCTGTTTCAAAAGGAAATATGCCAACACAGGAAAGAAAACTGTTCACAAGGTCTTTAACAACCCCATATTGTTATACTTAATGGGGGTGATCTCTTTCCTTACCCAGAATTCCCTAGCCACCCACACGAAGTGTCTCAGGAGCCACAGCAAGCAGGTGCCATCATTGGTGGAGCTGTTGTTTGTGGCACAGTGCTGTTGACCGCCATTACGCTCATGGTAGTGTTTTGCTATCGCCGGAGATGCATGTTTAAAGGAGATTACAGTACCAAGAAGCAAATCCTTGGAAATGGTTACAGCATGGCTGGCAGCATGCCATCACACCCCTCGCTACCTCACAGTCTGACCTTCTCCGAAGACTCAGATGAAGAGAAGAAGATGGAAATTTACAGAGGCTCCAGTATCTTAGGAAGAAGCAGTCAGGAGTTCCACAGCTGCCATGACAGCAGGATGAAGGCCTACCACACAGGACTGATCGAGGACCATGAGAGATGCGGACGTAGCGAGCAGACTTACATTTATGATTATGGATCTGAGGTGGAGGTCTCAGTGGACATGATTCCTCAGATGGACGGCTCTGTCATCTCTAAAGAAGAGTGGTATGTGTAAAACTCAAGACTTTGAGCTTCTCAGCATGGTCCTTTTCCACTATCTTCTCATTCCTCGCCATCTCCTTCCTTTTGAAGCAGGCTTTGGGATCCAAACTGACAATGGATTTGATTCACCTAGAGGACATTGTTGACATGAAAATCCAAACTGATGATGGATGTTTGGAGATTGACCAATGACTTTGCCTGATAAAATGTCTCTGTTTCAAAATCTAGCGAGCTGTTTATGGCATCCATCGAATTATGCATAGTTATTTGCATAATTATGCTGCCTCTTGAAATGCCTAATTTTAGCCAAATTCTAAATAATGCATTTCAATCTCTCACATAGAAGACTGTCCCATAATACACTGCAGCAAGCTCAGAGGGAAAAAAACGAAACTAAGATAGTGTCATTTAAGTTTTATTATGCAATTCTAAGTTGTATTTCTTAAAAGTAGTGATGTACATCTTTCAATGCAATTAATTACATTACATTACATTAATTTTACCAAATATTTGTTTATGTTTATGCCAGTATTGTGCTGAGAGCTTAGCAACAGGCTAACTTCAAACTCTAGTCGATTAAGTTGATTGTGATTTGTGTTCTTTAGTACGGAGTACTAATTACTAATTCTACATAGGTTGGTGTTCTAAATCAGTTATTTTCCATTATGTTTTGGGATGTTGGCTCACTAGGTTTTGTAACAGTGCTGTTAGTTTAGCAATATTCTAACTGTATTGGAATCAGTTGTGAACTCCGTTCTCCCCTGCTGTGACACACTTCTACATGTGTTGGCATCCCAAATTGGTCACTGTTGTATTGTTCAGTCATTTTGTACCAGTGCTGTTAGCTTAGGAACATGCTAACTTCAAACTATATTGACATCAGTTGTGTGTTGTGTTCTGTGCTGAGTGTTTATGCATATAGACTATTGTGCTGTTTGCTTAGCAACATGCTAACTTCAAACTTTATTGAAATCGATTGTGATTTGTGTTCTCTAGCACTATTTACATGGCACACCGAGTTTCTACATAGGTTGGTGTCCTAAATCAGTTATTTTCCATTACGTTTTGGGATGTTGGCTCACTAGGTTTTGGAACAGATGTAGCCAAATATCTCTAACATAATCTAGGCATTTGTTTGGAAGAGAATACATGTCTTGACAGTGCCGTTATATTGAGAAATAATTTTTGCCTCGGGATAGTGTTTACTTGAGAGCAGTTGAAACTTCACTATAACTATAAATTGTGAAAGTCTTACACTGTGTGCATATTTTTGTGCATGATTCATGGAAACATTGCCTTGTTTTGTCAGATATTGTGTTTTTTTATTGAAACAGAATTTCTGGCTACTTTAATCACAGGTTTCATAATACAGTACAATAAACTGTACTTCCCTGCACTGCAGTAGTCAAATACCACCTGTAAAGAATATGAACATAGATAATCACGCAAATAATCAGTGACTGTAGCTTTCAAGAGTCAGTGATTTACTGCATGTCTCAGTGGCTGCAATCTACAATATGAGTTCATGTTTGATATTTGAAGTTATTTAAGATGATATAGGAACATTGTAGGCTACTATATAAGTGCTTTTAAAAATGCTAAATAATTTCATTTTAGTGACACTGAGGAACAAACTGGGTGAATGTTATATTGGTCTTTTGCAGGTGGTGTTCAGCTAATGTACTTCCATATGATGTGCTGTAAAATTTGTAATACATTGTGTTTTATGCTAATTGGAAAGATTTCTTTATTTGTACATTTCTTCTAGAAAGCAGCAAAAAGGTCATTTTCACAACAATGATAGAAATTGCCCTGTTGGTTCAGTATAGTTTGTAAAACACATAATTTTGTTAACGTTGCTTAATTTATTCAGGAAACACTTGATGTGTTTTTGTGTCCTTTATGTGTTAAACTTGATTATGCTGCCAAGACCAACATATTCAGATATACAGTGTTTGTGTTTGCTGTTCTCCTGTTATTTGTATTTATTGTGTTAATAAGTCTTGTGAATTCTCTGCTGAAATAAATTAAAATGTATATCAAGTCAGTTAAGATAGTCAAGATAAAATTTAAAGTTTTCTTTGTCTGATTATGAATAATGTTTTGCTTATGATATATCAGAATCAATAAATGAACAAGCACAATTTTCCAAGCAGAGCAATTTAAGTGGTTCGTTTGGGGTCATCTGATCAGGACATTCTTTGTGGTGTCAGTCACTTATTTGAGGTTGGGTATTGTCTGTTTCGAGTGGACACATTATGCCATTACCGTCTCTTTTACAGCCATTAGAGCACCCCACAACAAATCCAAATCTCCTAGTTGGCATTTACATCATTGTTGTTTTATGTACACAGAGACCTAAGGGAAATCTCCCATGAATCCCTTCCATGGCGGCTCCATTTGTTGGTATGAGTTTGCACAAAAGAAGGTCATGTGAGCCGGATGTGTGGTTTTTTTTCTCATCAACACAAAACAATAGGACTAGGGCCATACAATAGAGCTATTCTTGTTAGTGTTAGAGAGGAAACATGTTTCAGAGGCATGTAAGGTTTGAATACTTAAGTACAACAGAGTATTAAAATGTGATGTAAATTAACGTGATGTGTTATGTAGTGTATATGGTGGAATTAGCAAGGAGATTTCCAACATGTATTTTTCCAGCAGAGAAACCCCAGCCACTGAGCGCCTCAGAGAGGGTGATGGGTGTCCTTGGATGGGTGATTGCACTGGGCATCATCCTCTGTATAGCTGGCATAATATATTTGGTCAAAAAACAACAGCGGCACAAACACACAGGGTCAGACAATGACTCGTAAGTATTTAATGCATTAAAATGCTACATTTGCAAGGATGCATGTATAAAATTCTGAGATTTCTTTATTGAGGCCTAAGTAATGACTAAAGTGTCTAAAAAGCTAATTTTCTTATACCTCAGTTATTGACCTAGCTAAATTTAGCAAAACGTTGTATGTAATATTTTTTATATTTAATTTTTATTTCATATTATTTAATCATATTTATTTAAGAATATATATTTTAATTAATATTTAAAACATATGCATATGTGCTTATATATAATAGAATGATTGTTTTATTAATATTAATTTTTATATTTTGTATCATTTATGTATTTGTTTTTAATGTTAATAAATAAATATTATGTAACTAACATGTAATGTGTGTTTAATGTAATGTATATATTATATATTATTGTTTTACATTATTAGTATTATACACCTAATAGGATTTTTTTTTATATATATATTAAATGTAATGTTATAATGTATGTATATATGCATGTAATATTGTTTATGACTTTTAACATTTTCATTGTAGTCTTTTATGTTATTGGACAATTAATTATGCCAAAGCTAAAATTATATAATCATATTAGATATAACTAAGCTTATAGGTAAAATGCATTATTTTTTTCAATGTTATGGTGTGGTTTTAGTAAAATTTCTAAACATTCTGGGACATAAAACTAAATGCAACCAGCCTGTAGTTGTTTTATGGCATTGTTTTAGTTAAGACTCTATCTCTCCCTCTCTATTGTTGCAGAGATAGTTGTTCTCCTGCCCACAAAAAGCCTTCCTCGTCTAAAAAGAGGGCAGCTGATGACTTCCAGGTAAGAGAGCACTCAGTAAAGCCACAGAAACACCAGTGAGGGCCATTTTATCAGATGAAAAGATGCACTAATGCACCATGGTCTGGCTACCGACCTGAATAGAGGTACTGAGACTTTAATGATAAACCTGAATTGCCTCTGGCCTCATTGATATAGTGAGCAGAGAGCGCCTCCTACTGCAGAAGAAAACTTTCTCCCTGTTGAGTCCTAATAGTTAATTATCTCAGAGTATGTTTTAGCAATAACTCTGTATAACTTCCTTGAACTTTGCTACTTTTGAAACATTAATGTATTCTGAATTGGAAAAAAGGTCCAAACTTTATTGTGTCTGCACCAGCATGTGTAATATCAGGGTGACAGTGTCAGCCACGTGCCTGAGTGTGCTCATTAAATATGCACAGCGCTCATTCTCTCGTTCTCTCTATCTGACCTTGTATCTTTGTTCCCACAGAGCCCTGGGAGGTTCTATGATGAGCTCCCAAACACGGCTGACTACGTGAGTTACCGTTTGGCGTGTAACAAAGAAGATTATCTGGAGCAACACTCTCCTCCCATTCAACCTCCTCTGACCTTTCTGCCCCAAAATCCCTACACTCAGCACGGTAACAAGACCGCCATATTCACGTACCCCACACCCCCCGGCCCTGTCTCTTCATACACCTTCCCTAAAGAGCAGTATGTATAAATACATTTGTGACCTCTGTCTCTTTTCTGTCTTTCTTCAATTGCTCTGGTCATTGTGTAGCTACTTTTTTATTGTGTTCTTTCTGAATAGATCTTTTAAAAAATATATTATTATCCAAGCATAATTGGATTTGCATGAATATTTTAAATTTTTGATAATAATATTGCTTAGAATAAATCTGCAAACAATTACAGATTAAAGCAGAGTAGATTCGGGATCAATGTACAGAATAAATCTGATTCTCATTGTCTTAAAGTAGGTCGGTGGTCTGTACACCCCATTTACAATAGACCCATATTGTTTATTGTTTTCTGTACAATTATGCATCACTCCTTTGTTTTATGTCATTTGGGATTTCCACTGTATTTGTGAACAGGTCTTTTTGCTGCTTTTGTAATAGTAAACTTGTGACAATAACATTGTCAGTAAAAATATATTTCCCCAGCTAAATTCTTGAAAAATTTTAAATGTAATTAAAATAATGAATGTAATTTATTTTTAAAATCTTATTTAAAAAATAAAAAATAAATAAACATATGTAAAAAAAAAAAATTATATTTACTACTGTATTTAATTGTGTTTTATTAAAATGGGTGTTTTTGCTGCTTTTGTAATTAGTGAAACTTGCAACAATCACATAATCTGACCAATACTTCACAAAATAATAATTATTCATATTTCTTTGCATCTTTAAACTATATATGCTGTATATATATGTGAGGGGGGTTTACATGCACACCAGCAAATTCCAGGAAGTATTTATGTAGAACTGTGAATCTCTTTGGTAATTTGTCCTTTATTATTGTTTACATTATGCTTTGTGACATTCATGCACAATGGTACAAAGTTCATCCATGCACTGCAATTCTAATCACCATGTAAGGAGCATTTATATAGTGTATAGAGCACAAGAAAGTGTGCAAAAATGTGATGGATTACATTTTATGTATTTGTGTGTTGTTACAGTAACCATATGGTATTGAATAAGCTGTTAATGATGTAATATTTAAATATTTTAACCACTTGTGATTTTTTGGTTCTTTTTTTTCTACTAATAAATACATAAATATATAAATAAACATTGGCTTCAATATTTTTTTTTTAGGTTTAGTATGTCTGATTATAACTGATAAGTTTGAATATTCTTCTTGCATTTTTGCAGGATATGATGATGCAATGCAATACAAAACGTTATAAGGAAGTGATTGTGATGATTACACAATATTTATAATGAAATAGTAATCTGATTAAACCTATTTATAGATTGCATTTAATATACATGACATACTGTATGCCATCTGGTGTGAACATAACATGACAGATCACAACTGGTTTGTCTGGTTACAGAACTGATTTGCGCTAATCACATAAATACAGAGTTCTAGCATGAAACTCTAGATGGCGCAGTCCGATAGGTCTAGCTCAATCTGACCTGGTGACATCATTGTCACACGGCAGCTGATTGGTTCTCTCCTGTTCTCCTGTAGCCAATGAGCTCGCTGCTCAATAGTCAAATACCTGGCTTTTGTTTGCTGTAGCAGTTGGCAGCACACCTCAGAAACCCTCCAACTTCCCCAGCTCCACCTGTATAGATCTGCTACGGAGTGATTCATGTATGCTATATGGGGGTTATTCATATGTGTTATACGTGCAGCAGCAGTATTTCTTACATGCTCACAGCAGCATGTTGTGGATGTATTGGCAGTAGCAAGTCTCGGTACTTGCTCTGCCGCAGCAGCAGCATCGTAGCAGATCTATTCTGCCAAGACCAAATACATTAACATTGTCATGTACATTACCATGCCAATCCCTCCGAGAGTTGTCATGACAGAAATCAGATTATGAACTATTTGTATGAGTGTATGAGCAGTGAAGCAGCTGTAAACTTCTTGTGCTCAGACCGATAAAACTTCTGTAAAACTTGTATCAGAACCGCAAAGACGAAAACTTTTGAATGTCATTGCATTAGATAACAAAATATCAAATCAATTATAGGTTCATTTAAAGAAATACAACACACACATAAACAAAAGGGTTTTAGATGGATAGATTTAAATGAATAAAACAATAGATCTCATGTTTAAAACTATAATATCCATACTATTTTAGACACTGAGATACTGAAACGTTAGTGGAGCATGTTCATGATTAATGTGATGAACTGATATCTGTGGTTACTCTGAGGGGAACTGCCTACTACATCCACAAAAATCACACTAATCTAATGCATGGCATTCAAACAAATGTTCACAAATGTTCAACAAAAATACAGATTTATATGCATACACAATGGTCATGTCATATCTATCATATAATCATTTTCATTGGCATCTGTGTACAGTATATGGGTGTGCACCCTTGCATTCTTAACTGTCCTACCTGGTGTGTTTATGCAAGTGTAACATGAGAAACTCATGAATGAATGTAGGGAGCACTCTGTTTCCTCTGCTTGGCTGAGCTGTCATGGATGGAAACACACACACACACTAGTATAATTCTGACCTCAAACCCAGAGAGGGATGAGCTCAGAGAAGAACCAGGATCTGTGATTAAAGTGCATCTCATCAGGCTGTGAACCTGGCTAACTAATCCTGGAATCCAAATTTTTTAATTGCACATTTGCCGCAACCTACATTTATATGCAGTGTGCACTAAAACATTTTGGTAGTTAGACATGGATTGCATGGATAGTAACCAAATCCAGATTGATGAAAAAGATGTCTTACTGAAACAACTTACTGAATTCGTTAATGCTATAAGACCATTATTAATGCACTGTTATTTATTATTAGCACATGTTTTTTTATTTATATAAGAGAATAAATCATTGTGTTGGAACTCAGCATGTATCAGAAGTTTTTTCTTTCTCACTGTGGGTGATGGCATGCAAGAACGGCCATCCATCCCGCCACCTTCAATAATATATGAGACACAGCTATCATTGTGTCATCCTAAACCTTTCTACTCCACTCCACTGTATTCTTGTACACAGAGGTTTGTGAATTATTGAAGCCAAATCAGTTTAGAAAGACTCAGTTGCCTCTTTCTCTCATTGAGCTTGTGGACTTCGGCAGTAATCATAAGCTCAGAGAGGTCACATAATATTTATTGGATATTTCTCTCGCTATATTTTTTTATTCTTATTTTGGAGACGGTTATTGTGCTTTTTTACATCTTGGTCAAGGCATTGGATATGAGAGTCATGGCACCATGGTCCACATAGTTTTAGGGGTGCATTTCATTTGCCTGGCTGTTTTATTTCTACCCCTCTACCTTCAAGGTAAGAATATCAACAACCATTTTTTATATTTTTTAATATTCTGTTTAGTGCTGTCAACCAA